CGACCATATCCAACATCATAATCTTGAAGATAACCATTGAATGCTGATTATAACGTGATCATTACCAACATCTTCAGCTCAATAAACATTATAAATGGCACGTCTGAAGATAGCGACCTCCGATCATTGAATTACAGCATCAGGTTTTATATCTTATATTGATCGATGAACAGTATGTTATAATTTATGTGACAATAATTCTCTTTCATGAATTCTTTCTCCATCAGATAATAAATTGTTGTTAATTGTGGTGATTAATGGCTACCACCTCAGCACGAGCAACATTCATAAGAGATATCTTGTTCGGTTTCCTGCATTAATATTGGTGTATTTTATTCTTTTTATAACTATTCAAAAATTTTGGTATTTGTTTCGATGAAAAAATAACGTAGAACACATTAGTTGATTTCTGATAAATTCAAATCAATTTGATCGATTTTCAAATATATCATTTGTTGTCATCGCTGCTACTATACCTCACTATCGCTGCTATTGTCATTTGCTACCTTCCCCCATTGTTGTCACCTGTAGCCTGTAGGATGCCTGCCACCACCGTGGCTGCCACTCGCTACTTCCCCCGCCATTGTTGCCACCCATAGGGCACCGACCACCAGCCACCACCGCCGTCCATCCCCATTGCTTATTGCCACCTATTAGCATCCGTCAAACACAAAATGTAATCTAATGTTATATTTTACACTCAAACAAAAAATCTACACTACTTTTTAAACAGTATATTTAACAAATCAACTAACTCTATTTTTAAATAATGACTAAAAAAATAAAAATTTTCTTTCATTTCACCGGTCCTTTCACTAAAATTTGAAGCATAAAAAAACAAAAGCCTAGAAGGCTTGTAAATGCACAGATATGTGATGGCTAATATTTTATTAAATGAGTTGAGGTGAACAAGTTTGATATATCATCAAATAATTATCTTAATGGGGTATGAATCTCAAAGCAAAACCAAGTTGGAAAATTCAAAAAATAAACATGGAACTATCTAAATTTTGATTTCAGCAAACTTACAGTCAAACATAACGTCTATGGGTATATATATATATATACCCATAGAGGGGCCTACGTGTTCCATAAAATGACAATTGCAGGTCTTTAAAGAACCACAAAGCTCTCTAGAAATATAATCATCGGAGAAAAATCTACGAGCCAGTAGTCCTACCTATTACAATAAACCAAAATTAAAAGACAAATAAAAAAGGCCCTAATGAAGCAACCATCCAAAAGAGTTGTACCAACAACCAGCACAATCCACACCCGACATCAAAGCTAGTAAGAAGAATCTACCCCCCCCCAATCTGCAACACACAAGCAACTTATAAAAGGGAACCACAACAAAACGAACAAGAGAAGAACCAATTCAACCACCAAGCGAACACACCAAACAACCAAACCAACGGGAACCAAAAGCCATGGACCGCAAACAAACATAATGAAGGCAATTGAAAAGTGAAAGACCAAACAATAGAATCACCAAGATAACCAACAATTACTTATTCCTCAATTTAAGCATCCGACGATTGCCACCACCATGAGAAAAAGATTTTTGAACAATACAACTAACATTCAAATTATACAACTCATGATAAGCATCCTTCTACTCATTAAATTCATCCCCAACATCCCCACATGGGGAAGAAAAAGATCCCTCCAACCAATCGGATTTATCCACACAACTTCATATAAAATTGGAAGCCACTTGATTTTTAAATTCATTAGCAGAAATAATTGTAACCAGAACATCAACAAACGGAGCATTATATTTCAGTTCCATACAAACAGTCGAACCATCATTAGAGACACGAGACATGAGGTCATTTGAAATAAGCCATTCATTATTCAAAATCATACCATCAGTATCTAGATGTTGAACAGCCAAACCAACTTCATTTTGAATAGGTACATCAGAATCCAAAACCTCCAGAACAATAGAATCATCATTGTAATCTAAAGGAACAAGAGCATTATTGAAACTAGGTTCAATTTCCAAACCAACATTAACATCTGCAATGACACCAGAAGGAAGGATCCATAAGCAAAAGAGAAATCGGTGAAACAACAACATCCCCCGTGACACCATCATGAGGACCACAAGACCAATGTACATGAGACGATCCGTGACGAACCTCGACCCTAGTTAGCTCCACCCCAAGATCAGAAACCTCCTCGTTACCTCCAACAGAGTTAGGAATAACAACATCAACATTACCATTCACACCATTTTCCATATCTCCAATTTCATTCCAAGTAGGAACAATGAGTGGGGAAGATGACTGAGTGTGACAATCCCCCCTCGCATGGCCAATATATTTATATATACCACAAAATGGAGAGAAGGCCTCCATCTAAACAAAGCTGAATGTAACCACACTTTTATGGACCAAGCCACTCTCTGTCCGGATATATTTTGGTAATGTCAAGTTCAACCAAAACAAGCATAAGAGAAGGCCTTGAGCAACAAAGGTGGCATTTTCAACTTTTAACAGACGACCAAACTTCACACCCAAAGCATGAAGAATTTGGGGGGAGAAGAGATGCAGCCGTAAATTTGAAAAAGAGATCCATATGTGAATAACTGGAGACTCAACACTAATATCAAGAGAGGGAGATCATTTGGTTAACTTCATGTAACAACTATTAACAAAGTAAGATATGTGGCAGAATACTCTGCAATAATCCAAATCACTCATCAACTTAATCAAAACGTGCAACGGGTCGAGCAAAGTTATCGAAAAGCCGGCAATTAGCTTCGGGTTGAAAAAGAACCTACGGTTGTAATCCAAACTAGTTCAGCAGGAAGGAAAAAAATCAACCAATGAAAATTAGAAAGGAGTCACAAGCATCTAAATCTCTTCTTCTGTGACCCATAATGAGGGTAAACCGCGAAAGGTAGACATTTTAAACTCAGGAAAACAATCATTAGAGGAACCAAAGAGAGCATCTAAGAAAGAGTTGGATTTCAAAGATCCATCCAAAAAATCAGGATCCACATTCCGATTCACCGCCTTTTTGGCCACGAACGACTGGAGGTGGATGGAATGGAAAAAAACCAGCCGAAAAATACAAAAAACTTCAATTGAGAAGGAAAGGAAAACTTTCCTGAAGCCAATAATAGCATCGGCGGCCAAAGCCACCAGGAGAACCACAGGCGGAACGGAAGATCGAGAGGAAAACCCTAGAGAGCTTTTTTTTTTAATCACCCATAAAGGAAAACCCTGAAGCCCAACTTCTTATACAAATTTCTTTATAGTTTAATCATAGCAACATATTATGACGAGTTATCCCACCAATCATAGTGACTGAGTTGCATGTGATTTCTCTTATAATGTTTTCATATTCATTTATCAGAGAAAATCAACACTCAAATGTCATAATTTTCCTAAAATTAATTAAAAAATGAGTTAAATTGTATTAATATATAGTTTGTGTATTAAAATAACTTTTAAAAAGATTAAAAAATAAATGAAACTTATTTATTTTTTAAACTTCATTAATTATTTTTCTCTTAATATATGAGCAAATTTAATCATAATTTACACATACACTAATAGGAGTGAGAATGATACGATCCCAATTCAATCCAATGTCATCCTGAAATTGGATTAAACTTGTATTTGCCGCCTCAAAATTGGTTCATGTATTGAATTGATTCACTTTTGAGCAGGTTCGGCTCATAATAAACTATTTTTTCCTTTTTAATCATGATTATGTTGCGTGTCAGAACATTTGTGATAGTATAATGAGAGATTTTAATGTCATATAGTTGTTCAAAGACCCAACACACATGTAGATGAAAAAAGAGTAATGAAAGGCCAAAATATTTACAAAAAAACTTCTAAAAATGAAAAAAATAAAACTATGGACATGATACAATTAAAATAATTCTACTATGATTTGTCATCAGTTATAAATGATGTCATTCCCAATGATTTGGGAAGGTGTTTACATTTTATATAACATATTTAGTGATAAAAGTTGGAAGAGCACTTTAGCACAAAAGCTATCTTGAAGATTTCATTTACTATTTATTTTGGTTGTTCATCCATGAGGAAGGGAGATCAACAATAAAAATGTCTAGCATAAATATTTGTGTTTACATCATAGTCATAATTGGTGTGGTTGACGTGAATATGTTTTATAAGAGATGGTTGTATTCACATTATTGATGACGATAGAAGATGAAGCCAATGAGCATCAATGTTGACAAACGACAATGGTCAAAATACAATAGTCATGCAATAATGTTCAAAGGATTATAATTGGCTAATGGAGGTTAGATAAATATAGTTAAACAATATGATTGGAGGATTGTAGTCAAGCAACAATAATTTCGTAGTAAGAGTCATGTAGCAATGGTTAGATGCAGTTCAACAACGACAATTGGGTGTGGTCAAATTGCAGTGTTCCAATAATAATTCGACAGTGGTGGTACTCTAGTGAAGTTATAAGATTCTTCAGGATTATATTGGTTATTATGATCATAGGCCATTCTTTCAACATTTAACTTCTTTAAAAATATTAGAATTGCAGAATTTTAGTGTTGTTGTATTGGTCTTGTCGAGATGTTTAATTTGACATAAAAGATTTGGAGGCCATTTGATCTTCTAATTAACGACATAAAATTTTCAATTACACTTCAATTGCTCAATTATATATTTTATTTTTTAACGCATAATGAGTTCATACTATCAACTCCTATGTTAAAGGCAAAAATTACAATCCCGTTTAAGTCACAGGCTGTCTCAATGAATAAATTATTTTGTGAGAGGATGTAGAACGTCGTCTGCAGACCAATTAGAATGCATCACTTCAGTAGTACCGAGCCATAATATAGAGCGATACTGAGCCACGCTACGAACACAAAATGACATGACGTATGCTAATTGATCTCTAGATGATATTCGTTTGAACAGAATAAATAATTTTCTCGGTGGCTATTTATTGCGTACTATAAAGAGCATACAACACGCAGCAACATGCTGTCTCTGCCTACAAGGCAAATTCCATTACAAGAGATTCATTTTGCTCGCAGAAACCGTTCGAATTTCTTTTTGCTTAAATTGGAATCTCCTGCGCTGTGTCTTTTTCTCTGTTCTGTCTTTTCCGACGATGTCCTTTAAAGCTCTACGAATATCCAGCTCCAAAATGTCGTAATCATTAAATTATTGAGAGAGAGAGAGAGGGGAGGAAAATAGTGAAATGAAGAGCTCCATGTCCGATCGAAATCTCTTCAGCGACAGCGACGACGATGTCGTCGACGAGGAAGCGAGCTCTGATCAGGCGGCGGAGGACGACGAACAGGAGGATTCCGGCGGATCCGATGCATCGTCCACCGGTAGTCCGCGGCGAAGCAGACCGAGCTCCTATAACACCAATTGGCCCCAGAGTTACAGGTACCTTTTCCATCTCTATCTTCTTCTTCTCTCCGGGTATTGCGATTTCGTGGGATTCGAGGACCGTTTGATCGCAATCAGGCGGATGCTGGATGTTGGCTGTGTGTGATCTTGATCGATTGATTGATCAGACCCGGCCATTGATTGTCTTATTATAAAGATAAGAAAATTGCTGATGAGTATCTGGTTTTTACATCCAGACAAAAATCCTTGCACATGGTGCATGTTAGTTGCACGCATGGAAACAAATTTTGGGATATATTTTTTTAATTAACAATGTGTAAATTTAACTAATTTCGAATATTATGATGCATTTTAATTCAATATTTTTCTGAAAATAATTGATGCCCTATTTAAGAAAAAAATTATGACTCATGCCGAGAATTTGACTTTTAACAAGTCACAGTTGAGAAAAAAGATTCATATACTTGATGTTGTTGTTGTTGTTGGTATGTGAAAATATTGGAGTAGCTCCAAAGATAGATAAGATTAGAGAAAGAGTCAACTTAGATAATTTGGTCGCATAAAATGTCATTCTAATGATCTGATTAGGAGAATAGATGTATTAGATCTAATCTATGCTAAGAAAGATAAATACAAAACTAAAAATACTTTGTTAAAAAGTATTGGAACCCGGCCCATTTTTACTTAAAAGCTGCTTTAGAAATGATTAAGAATACTGCCCTAAACGAAGCCTTAATTTTGTCAATAGAGTGAGTAGCTTTGCCAACTTCAACAGATCTCAGCATTGAATACCGAGAATTTATGATGTTTTCAGATGATATTGATGTTGAGTAAGAGTTCTATCAAGTGTTAAAGCAATGCATCAAAGAAGGTTAGAGAAGTTGTACTCACTAGCTTGCAAGATTACATATACTAATAGTGACTTATCTTTAACGGGATATTGATTGAATGGGAGTTTCTAATTTTTAATTTATCATTGGTGATGCTGATGTTGATGATGTCTGTTAAGGCAAGTTCTTATATCTATCAAATTGAAGTCACTATTGGATTTGTTGGGATGAAGAAGTTTTGCTTCATTCTCTTTTCGACATTATGAAGAATTTTTTTATTAGAGTTTATGAAGGAAACTAAAGTTTATGATAATGCAGCGAGTTAATGAAGTTACACTCACGAAGATGACAAATAAGAAAGACATTTTGTCGAAAACATTTCTAAAACATCATGGATCAATTTTATCAAACGATCTTCCATTTGATTGAATTGCTAAGAAGTGATAAAGTTTTGTTGTTCCTCTAACATTGATTTTTCTCGTATATTTGAGTGATCTATTTTAGACAGCATTTACGCGCACTGTACTTAAAAGGATGGATGTAAATTTATCAGCATGCGACAATCAAATTTTGCGAACAAATATGTACGAAACTAAAGATGAAAATAGCTTAGAGAGAGAAGCTCTAGAGTTCACTATTGATGTTATAAACTATTAATGTGAAGATGACTCATCTTTATTCATATATACTACATAAAAGATTACATTTTAGCAATGCAATTAAACCTAAATAACAAAAACAAATATTTGCTATAATATGAGTAAACATGGTTATCTTGTAGCTTTCTTGAATTTATGATGTGTTCAAGATATAAGTAATTTTTTTAAAAAATTTTTAAATGTGTTTCTTTATTTTTAATCTTTAAAATTAAAGTTAAAATTGAATTAATCGACATATATGCTTTTACCATTTTGAATTAAAAATTATTAATATATTAATGATATTTTTTAATAAATATCTCTTAAAGTCAAGAAAAGAAACAGCCAAAAGTAAATAACTTAAAGTTAAATTTTAGAGTTAAAAAGTATTTACTAGTAAACTGTTCTTCTCTTAAATTTTCTGCAAAAAATGGTAGAATATCTGAATTTGGAGAAATTATTCTGTACGTAATCCGAACGCGTTCGGATGCAGCGTATTTACTGTTTATTATGTTGCGTATTTTTTGATACCAAATTTTTTCGTGTCAAAAAGCAACACATAAATAATACTCACTAAATACACAATTAATACGCAAAAAATACGTAGAAAACATAATGTATCAAAAAATACACAGTAAAATAAGCAGTAAATACGCAGCATCCGAACCCAATTCTGTGTTTGACTGCGTACAGAATAATTTCTCCTGAATTTGAGGACTAATTTGATATATTGTTTTTTTTGGGGTAATGAGATAGGCAATCAATAGACATCTACAGCGGCGTTGCATCGCCATCCATTGCATTCCTGGGAACTCCCTCGCTGACCAGACTTGGAAGCTCCTTCATCAGTTCTTCCTTCAGAGGGCGCCACGCCTCAGATGTATTCGGCTCTCTCTTCAAGCCTTTGCTCCCAACCCGACCAGAAGATGAACAGCAGCTATGGCCGGAGATTCCGAATCAGGAGAGGAAGAGCTCGCACTCGTTGCTGCCGCCGACGATCCCGATCCGTCGATCCTCATTGAAGGAGAAGGAGCACGAGGACGATCAAGAAAAGGCTTCCGTTTCTCCACGTCAATGCACCTATGGTCAGGCCGTCATCAACGGTATCGTCCCTTTTCCCCCTTTATACAATCTTCTTGATATTGATCCTCTTAATCTATGAGGAAAGATCCCTACATTGAGTTTAGGGCTAGTCTGTTTTGACGCAGGCGTTTTAAATTGATTGAAATTGAGTTATGGGACTCAGTTGTAGAATTCATAACCTAAGAAGGGTGTGAAGAGAGTTTCACTGCTAGTTTGTACACTGTAAATTTCTAGAAGTGCTTTGTAGAAGTGAGTTCTAATTTTTAGAGTTCACATTCAAAAAGTTGAGTGAGTTCCAATCTCTAGGGCCTCAAAGTTACATTCAATTTTATTTTTTCTCTTTTAGTAATAATCGAATAATAAAAAATTAAATGGATGATTGATTATAATATTATTTTTCTTATAATAATAATTGTAAATAATTATTAAAAAATAATATAAACATAGATAAAATTGAAAGCCATTATAAACCAGACAAACATAGGAACCGTATTCACTAGAACTTCCTCCAAAACATATAAATATCATTGCAACCTACTTAAAGACTACTCACCATTGAAATCCAAACACTTGTAATGAAGAAAAGGCATGTGCAAGATTTTTAAGTGTAAGTGTTTGAAAGTGATTTAAGTTGAGTTCTAGATATGAGTTTCATTGGAGTGAGTTCAGTGACCTATGTAACTTCATAGAAACTAATTTCTTATGAACTTTGTTCTTGTTTTTGTTTGGGTTGTGTTGAATTTCATTTTTATTCATCTTAACATCAATTGCATATTCTATTATTATTATTATTATTATTATTATTAGTCAAGGTCATATGCATTCTATCTTGTTATTAAATTTATATCTATTATTATTAAAAGCTAAAAAATGTGTTGATGATTTCCTTTTTCTTAGCATAGTAACTGATTTTTTACATTTATTATGCTCGGTTTTAAAAATGGGAACCATCTTTCATTCCCTTTTTATAAAAGAAAATGTTTGAACTCAGTTCCATAATTGAATTCCAACCACTGCGAACTAGTTATCTCAAAATCAAAAAGCTAGGGATTGGAAGTCACCTTAATTGTTTTACTATTTTTGTTTAAAATAATAATATTGTTACAATCCCAACCGTCCCTTGGCTCTTGATCTCATGGCCAAGATGGGGATCTATGGGAGGCTCTCCTAGATCATGCCGATCTCCTTCCATATTCGGGCGGTTGATTTAGAAAGGATTATATAAGGGCAATTATGCATGATTTCATATTTCTTTCTTTCTTTATTAAGATATATTGTGTAGATCTATAAATATGGATAGTTTTGTATAATTTAATTAAGAAACATTTTTTCTCTCCAATTCTTTTAATTTAACATGGTATCAGAGCCTAAGGATACATAATCCGGTGGCCTTCATTATCGTTGCTGGAATTATGAGGCTTTGGGTTTTTCTGCTCATTGTGTGGTTCTTCTTCGATTTCAAAGAAAGAAAATGAGTACATCTGAGAGCAGTCTCTCGTACGTGCCTACCTGGGGGCCGAATGAGTGAAAGAGAAGAACGGAGGAAGCGAAGCCGAGCGAGTGGTTCCTCTTGCGTGCGATTGAAACCGATTAAGCGTTTTGGGAGTTTGAGCGGAGCAGAGACCTTCTGCTTGCAAGCCTGGGGTCGAATCGAGTACGCAAGTGGATCGGGCAAAGGTGTACGACATATGCCGTCCCGGTGGTCAAATTGCAGGTGGTCACGACATAGACTAGAATCACCTCCCCAATGACACTGTGGCCCAGCTCTTCTCTTGCCTCAACTGCCACGACCGAGCCCGCCTTGCTTCTACCTTCCGCACTGGCGCCTCCTTGGTTCCTCATCGTGCCTTTGGAATTCACTTGACTTTCTTGCTCTTTGCTGCGACGCAGATATTGCGAGTGCTTTAGCCTCGCACTGCACTAGCCTCAATCGTCTTCGATTCAGGGGATCAGAGTTGACTGCTTCCGATATAAACCTTCACGCTTATGACTTATGGGAGATCACTGGGGATTACTGCTATGACATCACTGACGCGACGCTATTAGTGATTGTTACTCAACATGAGATGCTTGAGAGCCTCCAGATTGGTACCAATACTTATGAAAAGATTAGTAGCGATGCTATCCGGCATATGTCTATGTGTTGCACGAGATTGATAAGGTTGCGCCTTTCGGGCGTCCGGGAGATTGACGGCCTCGCCATTGGCGCCTTGTCAAGGCACTGCTCTCGGATGGAGGAGATTGCCCTTCTTGAATGTGGGAACATTGATGAGATTGACCTTGGCAAGTTGCAATGCCTAAAGTTTTTTTCAGTTGTAGGTTCCTTGAATTTGAAGTGGGCATCAGCTATCCCTTACCGGAGCAAGCTACCAAAACTTGTAGGATTGGATGTTTCTAGGACTAATGTTCCTCCGAGTTCTATATTTAGAATTCTCTCTTCTTCTAAGAACTTGAAGGTTTTGTGCACTCTCAACTATTTGATATTGGAAGAGGAATCCTGTGACATCCATGCATCTATAATGAAAGGATTCGTCGACAGTCTTGATCAAACATCACTTCCTGCTCCCTTGCTCAGACCTGAAATTGTTAATCACATATAATGAGTTTCAAAAAGCCCGGCAGGTCACCAAAGCCTACAACTGAAATCAAAGCACAATACTGAAATAATATGCATGTCAATCAATCAAATCAATAGCAGTCACTTGCACATGATCATTAAATCGATGCAGATACGGAAATCAGTACAGAAACAGAAATCATTGCATAAACAATAGAATCCAAAATCATCAGTAAGAGAATCAGTGAACAGTAGAAAATCCATAATGTTCAATAAATCAGTACGTGCATCAATCTCTACAGTAGTCGTCTTATCTATCACATCAGTCTAGTCAATGGAGCAGAATCGTATCAAAACATACACTTGCAATTCTAGTTATTCAATATCACTTGCTCAATAAATCATATGCAATCCAGTAATCGATATCACGTGTTCAATGTCAGTACAGTGAATTAGTAGTAGCAGCGTATGTATCAATATCAATAACAATCCTGTGACGACATGAACGATTATGCTATAACTGTGAAAACATATAGTAACAGCAAATCCGTACAGTAACGATAAATCCTCAGTAAACGATTCACAGTAAAAGAATCAGTATTAGTAAATCCGTCAAATTAAATACGATTAACATCACCCAATCATATCAATAGAATCAATCAGATCAATAAAGAAATCAATTCTGGTCAATAATATCAATCGATATGAAATCACATAAAACGATCAATTCAATACATCGTAAGAACAGTTGAAATCAAATCAATCAATCAATCAATAATAACAATTAAAATCAATCAATACAGTAAAATCGTATTCTATATCACATGTTCGATGTCTCACATGTATCGATCCGTATTCGATGTATCATGTGCTATAAGATTAATGCAATGAATCAGTAGTATCGGTATCAGTATCGGTATCAGTAGTATCAATGAATCGATGCAATATCAATATCCATATCAGTATCTGTGTTCAATGACATGTACAGTATGAAATATCAATGAAATCGTGCAATGATAGGAAACTCATAAATCTGTACAGTAAAGCCATTCAGTATCAAGAAATCAATTCAATATCAGTAAATTCATTCAAAATCCAAAAATCAATTTCATATCAATAAATCAGTCAATATCGATAAATCAGTAAATCCATAAGGTAATCATACGAACAATACTTTACACATGCATTCCAGTACAGTAGTCTTACTCGACAAGTACAATCACTGTCTATTAAGGCATTTTTCAAGGTTAGTATGTTAGTAATCCGTTGGCTATAATAGAGTCGTCACCCTTGCCCGTCGGCATAAACTCCTTATGACTCCCAATCGTTGTATCACGTGATCAATAGAGGATAACACCAAACTCTTTTTAAAGGAAAGCCCGTCGGCCTACCATCCTGACAGGTCTATCAATCTCTAACCAACGGTTCAACCAGTCTTAACTTGTCTTTCAGTAACAATAATAGTAATTCAATCATATATACACATTCATATACATCTCAGTAATACATAACAATCAACAAACACAATTTAACTCAATTGAAGAAAACCCTTAAAATATCGTACAGTCGATAGAAATCCCAAACATAGTCAAAATATACAGTTTCAGAAAATTACCAAATTACCAGAAATCGTATAAAACAACGTTTCAAAACGTTACTTGTACTGAAGCAATATTTTTCAACATCCGGATAATTTACTATTCGATAAAAATCATACAGAATCCAAAATACCCGGTGAAAATTTTCCAGAAAATACTCAAATCATACAAAAACATCATCTCAGAAACATACCAAAAGTTACACGGTAAAAGTTGCGTCCATACAAAGATATGCACGTTTTTCGGTAACGGAAACACAAAAATGAGCAGAGAAATACCAAAACTCGAAATATTTGAAATCAGAAATAGGATTCGGAGTCCTTACTGCGAGAAGAACAAATCATCTAACAGCGGCGACGGACAAAAAGCGCACCGCGAGCTCCAAAACCAAGCCTTTCATTCCTTTTCCTTCTCTTTCTCTCTCCAGCTTTCTCTTTCTCTCTCTTCAAATGATTCAAAATATCTCAATCCAACATATATCCATTCAGATCGTCCCGGACGATCCAAAATCGTCCCGGGACGATTTGCCCTCTAGACAAATCTCGTCCAGACGAAGTGTATTCGTTCCTGGACGATTTGCTCTCTGGACAAATTTCGTCCCGACGGTTCGTCCAGGCTCGTACAGGTTCGTCCAGACGAACCATACAGATTTTTCACAATTTTCTTCCGTTCGTCCCGTACTAAGGCCAGTTCGTTCGGACTAACAACACTCACAAAAATGAACTTTTGAGGGGTTTTACAAAGCCAATCATAGCCCGCTCGACTCTAGCCATGCCAAGGGCAAGATACTTCTCACCCTCTTCACTGACATTTCCAAGAGGATTACTTCTTTATTCTCTAACTCTGTAGGAAAGAAAACTGAGAT